CAGTATGACTTTCAATTTCTCTCTTTGTCAGAGTTCACATGTCAAGGCAAAAGGCCTGGGATCTACGAGGATCCTCTAGACTGTACCGCCTATTATCATTGTGGACATCATGGACAAATCAATCACTTTCACTGTCAGGCGGGATTGTACTGGAATAGTACGATATTGGCATGTGATTGGATGAGAAATGGAAAATGCAAACATCACATTGGTAAGATTGCATTTCCTGTGCTTGGAGGGGTCGGGAGGGGAGGAGGTTGACATCTGGAAATAACATTGTCATCTCTCCAGGAAGTTGACTTACGTCTTTATTAAGCGCTTATATTTTTTTATAAGTCCGCATTCCCTGGATAAGTTTTAATGACGCAAATTAAGAAGGTGAAAGTCTAAAATTTAACAGGATTAAATCGAAAACAAAAACAAACAAACAAAAAATAAACCCAGTAAAATGAACGAAAGCTTAAGGAAAATAAAAGTTTTCTAAACAGTAGCGTATGGCCCAAACTTCACTTTCATTTTGCACAACAAGATGCTACTGAAGGACACTACTTTGAAAAAAACCCCAGTACTTTAGTCTTTTGATCTTATGAATGAAATTTCGAGAAATTGCTTCACTTAAATATATTCCTTATGCTCTGTTTTCTTCATTGTTCTAGTATTATTTTCCTGTCAAGATAAGCCCAACGGCTATTATCCAGACCCTGAAAGCTGTCAGTCATTTTACCAATGYTATGAACACCACGCCTACTGGGAATCATGTCCGGGYGAACTCTACTGGAACCAGAATACAAACAAGTGCGACTGGCCAAATAACGTTGATTGTGAAGGGGATGAACTTCACAAGACAACTGATTCTGAGGTAATTAAAATCATTTATTGTAATCTTTATCAAAATTTTTATCATCATCAATAGACAGATCGTTTTTCGCATTATAATCGTTTATGTTAAAGTTATATTAGCTACAAAATTGTTCCACTAATGTAATTTTCCGTTATTCAGGAAAAGAAATGACCATCTCCGTGCAWATTGTCCGTAGTTGCATTATAAATAACAATAAAAAGCAATGAATATACTGTAGTATTGCTAATAACTATAAATCGTCAGTTCTTTCAAACCGATATAAGTCGGATAAGAGGTACTTATTGCTTAGAGATTTCAACATGTTCTACTCTCACTGATATATCAGTAAAAACAAGCAGGCGTGTAATGACAGCGAATTTTTTAATCATCATAAGACAGAAGTTCTAATTCTTAAAACCCTCATTATTTTCAGATCTCTTAGGCAGTACATCTCATCTAAAAGACAGTCAAGATATACCAATCCCATCCATCCAGATATAACAGGAAAAATGACATGTTGTAAAATAAAAGAAAAAAAAAA